GAAGGTTGGTGGATAAAAACGCATAATATGAAGATGCCAGACATGAAAGTTCTTTCTCTACGAGCACGTCGTTCAATTAATCAACACAGAAAGGGTGTGATATGCCGTTTTAGGAAAAGTGTATGTGTAAAAGTGAATGGTTTTCAAGTCGTTATCCTCTTTTGGTCTCTCGATACATGCAGAATTTTAAAAATCATCGCACATGCATTGAAACTGGAAATAAATAAAAGTGATAAATACAGATGTCCAAGTGAAACTCCAAGATGAATACTAATGAGAGAGGCCAAAGGTGCTAGAGTGGATTCCATAAATGACATTAAAAAGATTGTTCTGGATAGAACAGAACAGAAAACAGGCTGTGAGCCCTAGGTGAAGTACAACGGCACAGCAGAATGATGATGAATCTGCTCACAGGTCAAGATCCCCTTTTATACATTTGTTCTATACAAGCAAATGTGTATGTCTCTCATTATCTCTCACATACAGATGCACGTGTACAACATTTTTATAATGATATTTCAAACTATTATATAGAACACTTAAATTCTGCAGAACATAATATTTGTATTTGCTTTTATTTAAAGTACTAGATAATATACAAAGAATAAAAGTTACCTCATGAATCAGAAACATGCAAATAAAAGCAAGATAAGATTAATTTGTTGCAATAATTGTTGCATATACAAAGATTGTGGACAGGTTGGCACACTGATTGCTGTCTGACTTTGTAACATAACTTTGCACATTATTAAGAAAAGCTTACCATTGAAAAGCTTACTAACCCCTACTGTGCTTTATATTTGAAATCTTTAGGTCCAGAGCATGTTTTTTAACTCCACACTTCCTAAACAGTAGTTGCTTAAAGAAATAAGTGTTTGAGTGTAATGGCATTCAAAGAATAACACTGAGATAAAAGGAACTGAATTAACTTAAAATTACAGCTAGATAAGGTCACAAGGTGCAAAAAAAAAAAAGCATAAAAAGTCAGGTAACTCTAACAAATGCATGTCTGGTACTGAAAGAGTTAAAAATTGTAAAACACTGGATTAGCAAGAAACATCTGAGAAAAGTGTTTCTGATGCTATGAAATAATGAGGTGATTGCATGAAAAACCTTGTTAGGCGTACTAATTACTGGTGTGTTTAAATTTAAGATAGTAGGTTGTAGTTTGAGAAATTTAACACAATTAGCACACATAATGTGGTTACGCATGGGCAAGCTACATGTTCTAACCAAAAGAGCTTCCGAGAACAAATATAAATATTTTAGTAACTGTGCAAAGTGTTCAACTGTGATAAATCTAGACTAGTCTGGATAAAATTGCCGTCAACAACCTAAGTCACCCAAGAGGAAAAATGCTGCCAGTGAAGGACAAGGAAATTGGTTAATAAAACATCTTCCTGTGAGTTACAGTGTTCATCTTCCAGGTTTGGAGGACAAGTTGGTAAAGGAGTTTGATTTTACCATAACAAAGTTCCTGCCCTCCAACACAACTTGTCTAATGTAGCAAATGGACTAGCAGGTGATTTTGGGCTTTAAAAAAGTCACTGCAATATATTCCATTGCATAAGCATCCTTAATGAAGCCTGAGTACAAATGACTTACAGGACCATGAACTTAACCTGGGGAAATTTGTTAAATCAGTCTATATTAACATACAGAACCTGAAGCTGCCATGCTGATGATACTGTGTCTCAGGTTTGGCACAGGGGTGGGAGCTCAGGCTTGGAAGAACCAACAGACGAACATGTGAAGCAACACAACAGTGCAAGGGCTTTTTATGTCAGAGAAAGAAACCTACAGTGTCGAAAATCCTGGAAAGAAAAGACTGCTTCTCCGAACATGGTAAAAGACACCAATAAATTGTGGAGACTGACAAAAGCACTGAATGATGACAACCATCTCATGAAAAAACAGTTCTCCAACAAGAAGGAAATCTACTCACAGGGAAGGAAGCAGCGACTCTGATGGCCTGAAACTATGAGAAAGAAAGCTCATATTTAGTAACCCAGGAGCAAAAGAAAGCAGTCCGAGATGGGATAAACTCCATATTCAAAAAAGTCTCTTGTGAGCCATGCGCATGAAGACAGACATCACTCAAACTGAGCTACTAAGAGCACTGTGAAAACTCAAGTCAGAGAAGGCACCTGGCCTAGACGAAGTCTCAAATGACATGCTCAAACATATGGGTCCAGTAACACAAAACATCTTACTCCAAATATACAACAATAGCTGGAAACAAGGGAGAGTCCCAGATATCTGGGAAAATGCCATAATCCACCCCATCCTAAAAAAAGTGGAAAGGACAAGAAGGACCCTCAGAGCTACAGGCCAGTCAGTTTGCTAAGTTGCCCTGCAAAACTGATGGAGAGAGTGCTGGCCACCAGCCTTCAGTGGTTCCTAGAAACCAATCACAAACTGGATCCAGATCAGACAGGATACCGACAGCACAGAAGCACTGATGACCAGGTAGCATACCTTACACAGGACATAGAAAATGGCTTCAAGGAGAAGAAGAAAACCCTCAGTTTTTTTTAATATGTCCAAGGCCTTTGACAAGGTATGGAAGGATGGTTTGTTGCTAAAGCTCTTACATAGTGGAATAAGAGACAGAATGTACTACTGGATACAAGACTTCCTATCCCACAGACGAGCAACTGTGAAACTGGATGAAGCACACAGTCCAAGATTCAAGCTGAGAGCAGGAGTACCACAAGGTAGTGTACTGTCTCCAGTCCTGTTCCACATCATCGACCTACTTCAAGCTTTACCCAGACATGTATCACATTCTCTTCATGCAGATGACCTAGCAGTGTGGTACACCTCTGAGTTCATTGGACCTGCCATATCAAAACTCCAGGAAAGTGTGAATAGTGTCATAAACTGGGCCAACAACCTTTTGATGGCAGCACAGAAATGAACAAGCTGCAAATCACTGCAGGCAAGATGGTTTTTCTCACTGACTCACTGTCAGCAATACAGGCCCTTGAGTCCAAACCTACCAACAGCACACTATAAAGTCTAACAAAAGAACTTGCTATGTTGTCAAAAAAGGCAGAAACTCTCTTGCAGTGGATTCCGTCTCACTGTGGCATCAAAGGCAATGAAATTGCTGATGCTTTAGCCAAGGAAGGCAGTAACAAACCACAGACCTACCAGCCACTATCTTTTCCAGAAGTCAAAACTCTCATTAAGAAAAAATCGGAAACAGATTGGAAAACCAACACTGGTTATAATTACGAAAAAGATTTTCTTAAACACCTAAACAGAACAGACCAAGTCACAGTTTTTCACTTATGTACTAGACACTGCAGACTCAATAAACACTCATATAAATTAGGTATGAGCCAAACAGCTCTCTGCCAGTGTCTTCGTGCTAAATAGACTCCAGAACATGTCCTGCAAGACTGTCCTCTGTTGGCGGAGCTGCGGAGCAAAATATGGCAACACCCAGTAGAACTGACAACTAATCTTTGGGGAAACCTAAGAGACCTTGAAAAGACATCATAGTTTATGGCCCACAGTGGATTATGCGCATGACCAGGGATTGCTGAAGAAAAAGAAGGTTCAGTGAAATGTGTGCAAAAAGGAGCCAGGTACTGTGGAAAAATATCACCTTGACAAAGCTGTGCAAATGATACCATAAAACAGTCCAATGATAATGCCATATTTCACTTCAGAAACATTTAAAACACACGCAAACACAGATGTTACAGACACAGGTTTTAGAGAGATAGTTGCCTAGTGAGTCTCAAGCAAATCCCAATGGTATCAAGAGACAAAACTTCCGAAGGAAATGTCACCTGATGCTTTGATGAAAAGTTCTATATGGTAGGAAGTTGTCATCTTTGTCAGCAGCATCTTCCCTCTCTCTTGTTGGTTCTTATGTATGACATGAATGGTAGATTAGTGTTACTACTCTTTACTCCCTTGACTGGCTTGGTAAATCCAGCCATTCCATCAACTGTCTGTAAGTCTCTTGTAATCGCTTTATTTATAATCTGGGGACTTCAACACCCTCCGGACTGAACTGCCAACACAGTTTCATTTAAACTCTCAGGAGATTAAACTGCCCTCATAGTTTTATCTCTACCCCCCCCCCCCCACCCCCACCCCCCCCCCACCCCCCCCCCCCCCCCCCCCCCCCCCCCCCCCCCCCCCCCCCCCCCCCCCAGTTATGTCCTCTGGTACTACACAAGGGGTATTTATTCCTCAAGCCATTCTGCTGAGAAACAACCAACCCGGCTGCTTCGAGATACGAGCTAAGTGATTCTGTGTATCTATGTAGTATTGTTTAATTTGTATGTGTTGATGAAGGCTCCATAGCCACAACGTTCACGTAGTGTTTGCATTTGTTATATTGTGAAGCTTGCTAATATACTTTTCGTTTGGGACAGCACTGAATAATATAGCAAATGTAACTAAACAGAATTAAAGATAAGTGGCATTTTAATTATAAAACACTACATCTTCTGACATTTGAAAATGACAGATGCATTCTTTAAAATGTAGCTCATTAAATGAGCTTAAGAAAAAAAAAATTCAATCAATCAGGTGCCATCTCAACAATAATGATTAGCTGCAATGGATCTCCAACACACCGCCTCTCACCTGGTTGTAAGTCTCTCAGACTGCTGTTTATTCTTTTAATTGTCCTCCTACTTTATTGCTGTCTACCTCTTGCTCTCTTACCTTCGACTTTTCCCTCCAGTAAGGTTTTTATAAGAGTGTTATGACTTTAATGTGGCTGACATATTTCAATTGTCTCTCGATTTAAAAAAAAACAAATGTTTCACATAATTTCTTTTAGCTAGTCTCATTATAGCCAATGAATTTGATTGCTATTTCCATGAAACGACCTATTCTTTAAATCCACACATCCAGTGATGTATAAAGATGATGTATACATTTCTTTAGACATACTAAATTATAAATGATTGAAATCACAGCATAATAAACAAGCTTGTAAATTATTATTTTAAAAATTACATTATACATTTTCACTTTAGATTATACAAATATTGCAGGATTTCTTCAGCTTTTGTTGTTTTCCAGCCTCCAATTACTAACGGCCCATGTGCTGCACTTACATAATTTTCCAAACATAACTTTCCAATTTTTACAATGTCTATTTTAGTTTCAGTACTTTGAGCAGCAATACTTAAAGGAGATGTAAGGCATTTCTCCGAGACTGGATAAAAAGCACAGGAACTGCCAAATTTTAGTGATTCTCTAGCAACTAATGAGTCATGTGAGCTAGGTGATTTATTTATTTGAGAACAATCTTTCGAAAAGTTTCTTTCCACAGAGCTGACATCAAATGCATCATTAAGTGACTGATCTGACTTTGTTTTATTCTCATGTTTATGCACGTTTGGTCTATGTAGCTTGGTATGCCAGTAACACAGTTCACCACAGTACATCAAGGCCAGGAGATGCGTGTCACTGAGTATTCCTGAAATATAAAGGAGGAATCAGAAATACAAGCTGTACTGACAGTAATAAAAACAGACATCAGCTCTTATAATTAGTGATTAGTGAGGACCATCACCTTAGCACCCTGGACATGTCCATAGTTAGCTCTTAGATATTTCTACTGAATGATTAACATATAATTAGTTATTTAAAAAAAAATTATTTACACATTACACAATGACAAATATTGTTACTAACAGAACTATTTTTTAGACTCATATCGGTATTATATTTTATAGAAATGGTATCATACCAACTGGCTCATGAACAGCATCTCATCATGAAAGCTGAGCTATTCCGGCCATGTTAAATGTCATGATGTCCAGGACAGAATGGTGATAGAGGGCAGTTTCTGGAAAATGAGGCAGAGGCAGATTTCTGTGAAGGTGGATACAGAACACTGAAGATACGTTGGCTATCAAAGCACAAAGGGACAGTAGTGGGGAAACCGACAGGGAGTTGCACTTGCTGACGCCATGGTCGATTCAGACTGCTTAAATGATGGAAGGCCAACTAAAATGGCAAGGAGGCCCGGTGATGCAGACACAGCTACTGACCTGGCTTTGGTTACCCAGTCAGCAGTACTGGATGCCAAATGGACGGTCCTGGGATATCATGAAAATAACCATCTGCCATGTTCAGTATTAATCTCAAAATCCAGTAAAGTCAAGGTTTCAAAACCTCGTAGGTCTTTCAAGTATGAGCGGCCAAACACCCTTCTTGGACGCCTCTGACAGATGGCATGTAAGAGGACCGGTAGATCTACTTTTGTGCACTCTCCATGGTGGACATCAGGGGTAGAACAGGAATGGAAGTTAAAGAGAGCTACAGTAAAGCATTTAAAGAAAGTGTGACAGACAAGCTGAAAGAAAGAATAGGAGTGCGTTGAAAGAGATAAGAAAGATAAGATAGAGTTTTTCAAGCATTGTGCAGCAGAGGCCAAAAAAGCAAAATAGGAGTATTTTATTGATGAGACTGGGGGCGATAAGACACTGGGAACGTTTTGGGAGCTGCATGAGCAGATGCTCAAGAAAGATCAGCCCAGTGTAATGGGAACAATTCATAGAGATTATGGAAATAACAGAGATACAGTTAGAGAAGATGTGGCAGCCACAATTAAGAATAAACATTATGAACACATCATACAAGTGGAAGATGTAAAATGTGTTCTGAAAAGGGTGAAAGACACTGCACCTGGGCCTGGCAGAGTAAGATATTGCCACATGATGAACATGAGTGATGCAGACCTGGTGGAGATGGCTGCTGATTTCATTGAGAGCATTATAGCAGCTTCAGTCCCACAAGACTGGATGCACAGCTACCTGGTTCCACATCCTAAGCCTGGCAAGGATTATTCAACACTCAGCAACTTTAGGATCACAACCCTGGAAAACATCTTTGGTAATGTGTTGGAGAAGATAGTGGTGAGTAAGCTACATGAATTTTTGGAACTGAAAAATATCCAGAACAAACAGGGTAGCAGCTGTTTTGTATACGGTTAGCTCTCCGCCTGGGTTCATGGACCGCCGAACCATGTATTTTAGTCCCGGGACTACCACAGGGATCTGCAATTTCACCTGTACTGTTCAATGTTTTTACGAGCAAGATTGCAAACCTGGAAGCACCTGGAGTTGGCAGAATATTTACATTTGCAGATTATGTTCTCTTATATAGGAAGGAGAGAGATCGGAATAAAATAGCTCAAGAGTTACAGGTGACAGTAGATAAGGTGACTGACTGGTGTGCACAGATGGGTGCTGTAATCAACCTAGAAAAGGCAACAATCCTGTGGAGTTCTTTGGACAACAGGATTGTTAGAGCTGATGTTCCAAGCCTCAAAATAAATGGAAGGGACATCAAATTGGACAGCAGACTGCGGTACCAGGGAATCACTTACAGCAGCTTGAACTTCAAGCCTCACACAGAGGAATATCACTTAAGCCACACAGTGAAAATGTAGGCAAAATTATTTGAAAGAAGATTAAAACCATTAGTAGAAGAACAACTTTCAGAAGCCCAGACGGGTTTCAGATGAACAGTAGTAGCTTCTTCTTCTTCTTCTTCTCTTCCACCTTGTACCTCATCGAAGTGTCGGGGGGAGATGTAATGTTCGTTGATGGGCTCTGTCAAGAGCACTATTAAGACTTATGTTCATTTCTGTAAGGCTGTTCTTAATGCCATCACTCCATCTTTTCCGAGGTCTTCCACTCGCTCTATACCCGTTGTAACGTTTTAGTGTGGCACGCTGTGGCGGATAGTACCAGGGCATTCTTGTTAGGTGTCCAAACCACTTCATTTGTTGTTCTTTGATGACCTGTAAGACAAGCTTTATTCCTAGCATTCGTTTGATTTCATGATTTCGTATTCTGTCTTTTCTTGAAACTCCTGCAGCTCTTCTAAGGCATTTCATCTCTGTTGTCACAATTTTACGTTCACTGGAGGATGTAAGTGTCCACGTTTGGCATTGATAGCATAATGTTGGCCAAAAAATAGTTCTGATAAGATTCACTTTAGTACTCTTGAGGTATCTGCTTGTGTGTCAACAGGGGAGATAGTTGACCCATTACTTGATTAGCTTTGGCACATCTGGAGCTAATTTCTCTGTCCAGTTTTCCGTATGATGTAAGAATTGCTCCCAAATACTTAAATTCATCTGTATGTCTCAGGGTGTTGTTTTTTAATTTAATTTCTAAATTGTCTTTATGTCTTCCTATCATCATTGTCTCTGTCTTCGTAGTGTTTACTTTCATATTATATTCCTCCCCTTTGTTACTAATCATATTAAGGTGGTTCTGTAGGCATTCCGTATTTTCTGCTATGAGTGCCTGGTCGTCAGCGAAAAGTAATTCTGTAATATCTTCTTCATGATTAAAGTATGTTATAAAAAGAATCGGTGATAGTACACAGCCCTGACGCACACCAGAGTTCACTATAACAGTTCTTGACAACCCTGCCTTCGATCTTGTGCAGCATTTACTACGTGTGTACAGGCTTTTGCAAATATTAATGAGATGATTGCTGATTCCTTTTTTCCCCATACATTCCCACATCCTGTCGATTCTATTGAAGGCTTTTTCTTGGTCTATGAATGTCAACATACATGTCTCATCATGTTCTATTGCCCTCTCTGATAGTTGTCTCAATGTATAAATGGCATCTGTGCAACTTCTGTTTTGTCGAAAGCCCATCTGTGCTTCTGAAAGTTGATACTCTCAGCCTTTTTTCGATGATCTTAGCATACATTTTCCCAGTGTGACTGAGAAAGTGATATTCCTCTGTAATTAGTACATTCCCTCTTGCTTCCTTTATTTTTCCACAGCGGGACAATGACAGCAGTCTGCCAATCTGATAGTGTTTCTTGATTTTCCCACGCCACCTGAAATATTCGCTTTAACCATATTGCTTCGGTTTCTCCTGCTGCCTTGATGGCCTCAGCTGGTAGATCATCAATACCTGTCGCCTTTAGTCTAGGAGCGGTTCAAATGACACATTTTACTTCATCCAATAATATACCTGGTTCTAGTTCCTCTGTTAGTTCCGAGTTGTTTTTATGTTATTCCCTGCTTTTATCTGTTTTAGTGCAGCTAAGTAATTCTTCAAAGTAACTACTCCACCTTGCTAAAATTTTGGTAGGTTCTATTAAAGGTTAGCCAACTTCATCATTTATAATTTCTGTTGGGTTGTATTCTTCATTCCTGTTTCTCATGCCTTTGATTTTTTTGCTTCCAAACTTTTCCCATGAATCTCTTTTTGCTTTTCTGATAGTTCTATTTACTTCTCTTCTAATTATCCTGTATGTTATGTAATCCTCTTCTGTTCTGCTCCTCAACCAAATGCCATAAGCTTTCTTTTTACTGCTCACAATTCTTCTTATTTCTTCAGATCACAAAGGTTGAGAGCTTACGCCATATGTTACCTTTCCTTTTAGTTCCACATATTTCTTGTGCTATTTTCATAGTGGTGTCTCTGAAATTCAACCATTCTGTATTTACCCCAAGAGTGTTTTATGGAAGCTGTTCATAATTTTCCTGTAATTTTTTGCTGAAACGCTCGCCTATTTGCCTCACACTCTAGTTCTTTCCATTTTATTATGTCCCTTTTATTACATTTCTTTTTTGTTTGATATATTATCTTGACTTTTCTGTCAAGTATCACCATCCTATGATCTGTATCTAAACTCAAGTTTGGTATGACTCTTGCATCTGTAACTTGATGAAAGTCTCTTTTTCTCGTCAAGATATAATCAATCTGACTCTTGATATCTGGATCATTACATTTATACCATGTAAAAACTTGTGAAGCTCTATGTTGAAAAAAGGTGTTTGTAATAACAAGATCATGTTGTGCACATATATCCAATAGTCTTTCGCCATTTTCTAATGCTGTTGTCTCCATAATTGCCTAGGTATCATGTAAATGTTTTTCTGCCTCGTCCTGTCTTACCGTTAAAATCACCCATCACGATCAGTTTCTCGTTATTATCTATCTTACAAATGCTAAAAAATGTCTCATGCACTAAAGATTCTACTGATGACTGTAGACTCCTGCTGTACATGCTCTCCTGTCAAGTTCTTCTTATTGTACATGGCTAGCCCACAGACAACCAGGATAGTACTGGTTATGATCGAGATAGACCTTTTGACACCTATGCAAAGACTGGCACCCCGGCTCTGTAAACTGGCCCTCTAGAAACAGAGAGTCGACTGTGGACCGGGCCGATCACCCCTAACACAGTAAAATACCCTTGATTTCTAAAAACCATAATGAAATATGCCCTTAGGGTCCATCAAAAGAGAGGGAGAATAATAGACCCAACCCGATAGATACAAGCAGTAACCACCCCGCTAGTGCCCAGATTGAGGTTTCTGCCCACCGTCCGGGTTGGCAATGTACATGTGAAAAAAGTTTCACAGCGTTGCATGGTCTAAGAACTCATGCCGGAAGGATGAAATGCGAGGATGCGCCCCGCAGTAAGCATTGTCCCATAACTACTCCTGTAGTTACTGAGTCCTCAGGGAACGATGGCCAGGGTGAACACCACTCGCCCGGAAAGGCCCATGACGTCGACTATGAAAGGGCACCTTTGATGATTCCACCTGCAAGGGATAGGGCTTCGTGGTGCAAGCTGGAGGGTACACTGTGTGAGAAAATATATCAATGAATTAAGAAAACGTCGCTAGGTGACACGCTAACACGCTTTGGTGATATAAAATACTAGCACTCTTCCCGTGAGTTCGGGACAGTCTACGCAACCGGGCATCACGCAAGGTAAAAGCATAAGGCACAGGGACATTGAGAAGTGCAGAGCAGACAGGAATGCATCCAGAAAATGGTTCAAAGCCGCTATAGGCAGCGAACGGGAGGGGCTGCACGAAGTTTGGTTGCACCTGAGAGCCAGACACAGTGCCCTCTGTCGCACTGAGCATTTCTGTAACAACACAGGGAAAACCAAAAGGGAAAGAGGGAAATTCTTTAGGGACCCATTCCAGTTTGCTTAAGGTCTGTTAGAGCAACCAAAGTTTGGGACTCTGGTGGTCAGTAAAGAGGAGCTTGAGTCACATCTACGCAAGATGTACTCAGATGGTAAAAGGAATTAACCTCTCGATGACAATCCAAAGATCACTAGTGGCCTGAAGCGGCCAGAGTTGCCGAAGGTACCATTTAAAATGATGCCTCTCTCTTAGTCTGAGGTCGAAGAAGTTGTAAAACCAGCTAGCGCGCAAGTCCGCCCCAGGGCCCAATGGTGTTCCGTACGTCATGTACAAGCAATGTCCCAAAATCCTCTGAATGCTTCACCGCTTGCTAAGATTAGCGTGGAGCGGAAAACACATATGTGCCTTGAACATGCGACCATGATCTGGGAGTCTATTCAGAGGGCTAAAGCAGAGACAACTCAGTTGTACCTGATATGGTTGGACCTCATCAATACCTATTGAGCGGTTCTCCATAAGCTATTATGGCAGGCTCTTCACATGTTCCATGTACCGAAACAGATCACTGAAATGATCGAGCAATATTTCTCAAAGTTCGCTATACGCTTCTCTACCCTGATGTTTACTATGAGATGAACTGAGCTCCAGATTAGGATAGCAATGGGATGTATGATCTCGCCAATACTGTTCATTATGGTCATGCAGGTCATATTAGACGGGGCTGCCGGCTTCAGTCAAGGTCTTCAGATTGGGGACCGCTGGATGCCTCCACTACGTGCAATTATGGATGACACAACTATAACCACGGGCACAGAGGATGATGCCCACACAATTCTGAAAAGATTGAACAACGTTGTCCAATGGTGCGGAATGCAGTTCAAACTGCAGAAGTCCAGGAATCTGTCAATCCTAAAAGGTAAGGTGGCGATGATCAGTTTGGGAAGTTTAAGGTCTGGTGTCTTTAGTTTATGTTGATCCCAAAGTTTCTTTGGCCGCTGCTCGTGACAATGACCGCAGTGGAAACCATGGAGTGGAAAATCAACACAGCCATGAGAAAATGATTGGGAGCACCACCTTGTCTGACTGATGTGGCTCTGTATTGCAAGCAGGCTAAGCTGGTACCCCCGCTCAAATCAATAACAGAAGAGTTTAAAGCTGGCAAAGTAAGACTCGCGACGATACTGTGTGAGTCTTCAGACCCCACGGTAACAGCTGTCCAGCCAGCTCTAAAGACAGGCAAGAAATAGAAAGTTCTTGATGCGACTGAATCTGCCCAAGATGCACTGAAATTGAAGGAAGTTACAGGTTACACACAAAAGAACTGTCAAGGCCTTGGGAACGGGAAAGTCAGTTGGTGGTCCAAAGCCACAGCCAAAGAGTGCTGAGACATGGTAACACAGCAAGTAAGGGATGCCGAAAATGAGACTCTGATCCAAAAATCTGCCCAACAGTCGCAGCAAGGCAAGTGGATGAGCCTCGATAGGGCCTTGCCATGAATACTCACATAGGGTGAAATCTGGCGAATGGCCCCGCTGTGGCTGAGCTTTATTGTAAGGTCTGCATACAATGTGTTACCGTCCGGTGTCAACATGGTCAAGTGGCACGCCGCTACGGCCCCAACCCGACAGCCCACTATGCAGAGCTAAACAGATGCTCGAGCACGTATTGTCTGCGTGCAGAAAAGCCCTAGGTCAGGGTAGTTACACTTGGCGCCACAACTAAGTCTTGAAAGAGTTAGTGGACATTGTGGACCAAGCTAGGATGAGGGCCAACGTGAGGACCAGTCCTACCGTTATCCCCATGCGCTTCCTCAAGGCTGGGCAGATTTATAAATGTAAATTCAACAAGGTCGCATACGCTCCATCGATGCTTGACTGTGTGAGGGACTGGTTACTGGCTGTTGACTTGCCTGGTAATGAAAAGTAGCCAGAGTTAATCCAAAAGACTGGCCTGTGACCTGACATTTATTCCTACATTCTGCGGAGAAACAACAGCTCATCCTGATTGAGCTAACCATGCCGTATGAGTCATGAATGGGCAAAAATCACATGTATAAGCTAAAAAAATACAGTGATCTCGCAGCTGGTCTGAGGAAATACGAAGCGTACAGAGGTCTTATCTTCACTTCCATGTACAATGTGTTAAAGTAGCTGGGTTTGCGAGGACACGAGCGCAAACGATCACTTCAACAACTGGGCGAAGCTGCTGAAAGAGCTTCGATCTGGCTCTGGACACAATGGAACGTCTTTGGGGACGCGCCTTGGTAGGATGGTCCTGGTGTCTAGTAAGAAAGAAAGTCCTATCCCTTAAGTCCATTGTGTCCGAATTGTCTGCAAGTGTCCCTCTGCCAATTGCCAACAAAGTCCAACAGTTGTCCAATGAACCAACCGTAAGCTTGCTACTTGGTCGTGAAGGTATGCCAGCTGATCTAATAGGCTACCCTAGTGACTTCCCATGAAACTATCCAGGAAGGCTAACTAGGTGGACAAATGCTTGATGAAGTTGAATGTATCGGCCAAAAAGTGCAAATATTGCAGCTATGCTGTAAATAGGCACAACACAATATGTCACTCAGGAGAGCAAAAAGAAGAAGAATTCTTTTCAATGATTAAAGCAAATCAGTACCCACGTTTACAACTCACTGCAGGGAGAGCTCAAAAGCATGTCAGAACGAGCGTGTTGTTTACCAAGGTGGAACCAAGACCTAAAATGTTCAAGTCTGACACAAGTAAAAAAGTGGAGTAAAGAATATATTCAATCCAAAGTTAAATGTTGTCACTGAATAATTTACAAGACAGAAGAAAATCTGGGGATCAGAAGGCACTCCTAAGAAAATACAATTAGATGAATTTAAATAATGCGGACACAAACAATACATTGCACAATTTATTGCTAGGCATATTTCGCTGTATCTCATCAGGTGTGTTACTACAGAGTTACATCAACATAAAATAAAGCACAAAACTGAATAGATTCAATGATAATTCAAATAATTCAAAAAATTTGAATAAATTTAGATGAATTGCCTAGATTAAAACTTGGATGATCAGTGCAGCATTACAGAAATGCAAATAACACAAGAATAATCATTGATTTCAGGAAGATATATTGACAGTTTTGATATATGCTAAGCTCTATTGAACAGTGCTGTAAAATCTGTTAAAAAAGAGAGAGAGAGAGAGAGAGAGAGAGAGTGGGAGAGAAAGAGAGAGAGAGGTCATATTCAATTCCTCTAACACTGTTAGTATATGTATGGCAGCTATAAAATCTTAAAACAAATTACTTATTCATATTTTCTGAAAATAACTACACTTGAGGTATTAAACCTTCATCATACCTTGAGCCAACAACATGCCAGCTTTATCCTCTGCTTCTTCTTCAGAATCAATTTCTGCTTTCTTTAACATGGCACCAGTTAGCCATTTTGGTGGAGATCCAGTACAAAACACAGAAGTAAGATACTTTATGCCATCCTCTAAGCACTGGAAGCAGAAAACATAGGTAAATGAATCCTTCAACCATATTTTATTATAAGCAAACCTTCAGCTACTTTTTTGGCCTTCAAGAAATTTCTTCTGCATACGTATTAAAAAGTGCCCCCCCCCCCCCCCCTCCCCAGTTTCAAAGACATGAAAAAATTATTTTGCATTGTTAGGTTCATTCAATTTTTCTGTTTGTGTCTTAGTGAAGACTTGCCAAGCATATCCATGAAGAGTAGAAATGTGGAAGGGCGAGAAGTTAGAATACTTAGGTTTGACATTTGATTGCAGTCTGTCCCACAAATATTACGTGGAACAGACTGTGATAAATGCAAGCATGGCCTGGCAGCACTGAAGACAATGGTGGCGACACATGGAACAGAGATTATTGGTCCTATTGCTCAAACATTTGGTCCTTTCAGTAATTGATTTGGCCTAAGAATATCAACCCTATCTACTTCACAGAGTACAAAGCTTGAAAGGATTCAAAATGAAGGAATGAGAATCATATAGAGTTGTACATGAGATATACCAATTAGAACAAAAAGGTATATACTTGGGCTGACATCGGTCAATTTTAGACCGTCACTGGCGCAAGCCATGGTCTAAATGCCAGTTATTAATGATGTAAGGCATCCGCTACATGGCAATCTGAAAGATTTAAGAGGGGGCCGGTTGAAAAGAGGAAATTCATGGATGACACCAGCTGAAGATACCACTGAAACAGCGACCTCAGTCAAGCAAATACACAGGGGGCAGGAATGGGTCAACATGAACACCCACAACAGCAGGTCATTATCATGTTTCAAAGAGAATGTAGAGAGTGATTAACGGTATGGCAGAATTATAGATACAACAACTGATAGATAAAAAGGCTGGGCAATAGCATACATCGATGGTTCTGTTGTAAGATCTGGTTGGGAATTTTCAGCTAGAATGAAGAGAAAGATTGTGGCAGAACAAAACGGAGCTTTTTTATCCACAACTTCAAGCATGAGGATGGAAGTGGAGGCAATCACTGCAGCTCTGATTTGAATAGCAGAAAACAAAGTTATTATTGTGTCTGATTCTCAGTCGGCACTGGGGAAGGTTAAAAATGGACTCATTTGGCATGAGTGGATACCAAGAGTTAGTACGCCACCACTGAAGGAAATCAGGTGGATATACTGTCCAGGACATGCAGGAGTACAACTTGAAAAGTGGGAGGCGGGAATGCAGTAAGTTATATTTGTTATAAAGGTTATACAATACAAAAATTGAAATATGATTAATTCACCAGCAACAAATGTTGTGTAAAATAAAAGCAGCCAGTGTTATATTTGGCTACATCACCCATCTTGAAGCAGCACTGGTGTGATGATGCTGTTGTTGGCTCATTCTACTTTCTGGACATCATACGTGTCTCGATCAAGCTGTGAATTCTGGGCACATGATAGTATATTCGGAAAAAAACATGATGATAATGTGGATATTGTTTATTGTTGCACATATTCAAAACACGATGATAATGTGGATATAGTTTTTTTTTTTTTTGTGGCACACATTTAAAACACGATGATAATGTGGATATTGTTTATTGTGGCACAACAATAAGTCATTCTGTCAATGCCCACAGTTCTTCCTGGTCGTTGACACATGCTCATGACTGACTACCATGACAGGACGACAGTGAAACAATTACCTGCTGTCAGATAGATTCATGACAGCAATTAGACCCCTTTATAATAGTGATATCTCGTTATGGGCAAAGTGGTAAAGCAATATGCTTGGTGGTAGCATCTACATACACACCCTCAGCCCTTACTCGGCGTGTGCCGCATAATTATTTGGCATCGGGAGATAGCAGCTTTAGACAGTGCTATATGGGAGTGTGGTAGGTTTAAGCCCGGAGCTTATTCAATGAAACGCTATAAGGCGCAAATAGCAAATGTAGAGCTTGCACTGCCTGGTTTCAAATAAGGAGCGCTTACAGCTCCTGAGGCCAACTGCAAGAGTTAGTGCTCTTTGATAATAAACATTGTGTGCGTGTGTTCCACAAGTGTTAGGGTTGGTGTGTACTTCAGCAGGTTTACTTGTCACCAGCCTGCAATGCAGCCATACATTAAAACACTAGACAAGCAGGTTCTTTACAACTGCCAGTCAGAACGTTCCATTCGATTAAGTTTCGGCATCTAAATCACAATAACACAAATGTTCTCCAGCACTAGACGCTGTCATTCAGAATCAATTTTCCTCAGACATTCGAGCTTCCAAAACAATGTTCCTTCAGTTCACTATGATGTTCACCTCAGTTGCACCCACAAACAACCTACCTCTCACACAGTCATAACACAACTGACTCTATCTCGTCTCCATTCAAAATGTTCGTTCTAATCTCAGGCTTTTTCTTTACACCTGTTCACAGAACCTGGGACGTGTTTTCCTCTGTGTCTTTTGTTTCCCTGGCCCCCTGACCTTGTCCCCTCAATTGGGAAACTCTGGGGTTTCCCTGGGAATAATCTCATTACAGCTCTCCCCTCCCCATTGTTTTTTCCTTCCTTTACCATCTGGTTATACTTTAGAGGTTCGCTGTCATTTCAATGTAATTATGTGGATATTACCTATTATCCACAGTGTCAGTATTGGTGTCAGTTATTGCTTACCTTTACCTAGGTTTAGCATGATTTCCACTTGTAACATGACCAGTTGTTGTACCATATAGCTTAATGGGATCAACACCCTAAGACACTCCTGATTAAGTGTGGAAGACCATATAGGCTCTGCGCATTTCCCATCCCAAAGTCTACCTAAAGACAAAACAACAACCCAAAGCATCCCCAATTCAGTGCTGAAGTCAACATCGACTAAGGTCTCACCTTCTCTATATGTACTCACTGGGCAACTTCCACTGATATCTGTCTCAACTGGATCTTCATGTTCTCCCACCAAGGAGCTTGACACAATTCCCATAAGTTAATGGTGTTAATTACCCATCATTTTTTTTGTGTAAAGTATTAAATCTGCCCTCTCTACTAAAGTATCATATTATCTATGTGAAAAACATTTACAATCACTGTCATAAAAAATTGTTTACATATTCATATTACATCATAATAATCAAAATTCAATTCATTTTCTGTTATCATCTTTTATTAAAGTCACTGTCTTGTCCGTCATGTTAGTTACAAATTGATCTGAACAATTCTGTCATGTTAGTTACAAATTGATCTGAAATATAAAAGAAATCATACATAATATTCATTAATATATTCATGCACCTTTGCAACCGTTGTTCTGCCATTACCACCTTTGCACTGGATGTGGGGTTTGCATGAATATCATTCATGATCCCATTCTCACTCATGACTGGAATGTTGTCTTTTTCCCAATTCACAATGTCTTCTTCCGTTACCTCTTTAAAATAATTTATTTTCCCTAAAATCAAATCTGCACATGGTGCTGGTAGTACTGCCACACTTATAACCTTATCAATGTAAGGTGTTGTTATCAACACATTGGGTGTTCTTTTTAACACATTGCAACGTCCGTGGCTTAGGCGTTGCGAGTCCAACTCATAATTCAAACATACGGAGATTGAAAATCAGTTGGCTGCGTGGATTTTTTATCATGGTATGGGGCGTCGCAGGGGGACCCATCCTAAAATGGGTACCAGAATAGCTCTCCTGGAGATGTGAAGGCGGCTGGTGTAATGCTGACCACATTACCAACCTAGTGCCGATTGGTCTGTAAAAATATGGGATTTTCGTCCCATATGCCCGATGCGCACTTTTACTTTATCAACACATTGGCTACCCTATATTTCTCTTTGTTGTCACCAAATGTCTGATAACAAAATATATATCTCAGTCTGTTCTTTTGGTTTGACTAGTATCTCTCAAATGCCTGAGACCATTGCACCCATGTCTGTGAGGACGGATACTGTCTACCAGTGAATTTGCCCTTTTTGCAGTTTTAGATTACCGTGGCTATGTGCCACTCCCTGCAATCCTAAATGAATACCAGGTGCCCACACGGTAAGTTTCCCCATCTTGAAACTGTGTACAAGTCTGACAACTTCCATTTTCACCATATACTTCTATCGAATTGGCCCCAACTTGCTCGGTGTATGATTTGTCATCTAACCTTTCATATACCACATGGGTCTCTTTAAACTGTTTCTTAAATTTACACTGTGAACTCACATGATTATAACAGTTACAAGATTAGCCTTTTACCACCATGTCATATGCACTCAACTTGTTCCTTCTTCTATCAAACAACTCTTTAATTCTCTTATCATAGTCTGAGTGTTTGTCACAAATGGAATCATTGTCGTGTTTTCTATTACAATATTTACACTCAATAATCACTATCTGTTTCTTAAAGTAGTTGCGGTCTTTAACTTGATGTTTTGGCTGGTATGGTTTGGAGTAGGCTGTTGCTCCCACTTTGATGATCTCTGAATTGGAGGTAATACAAATATATGGATGCCCCGCATAGTAATTTTCTCCTATCTGTTCAAGGTGGTTCAACAGCTTTTGTTACACAAGACTGCATTATTAATTTGTTCAGAAAAATCTACGGTCCAACTAGCACTCTGTAAAAAATTTGCTAGTTTCTTTCTATCAAAACATATGTAAACAATTTTATAACACAGTTAAATACTCAGTAAAATAATTAAACCAATGACAATTGTCATCTGATTGTTGTTACTTCTGATAGTCTGACAGTGACTGGTTGTATAAAATTGGACGGCAGCCATCCGCTGCTAGACTGAACCTAACCTATTTTCCTGTCGGAAATGTTTGTGGACACTGTCCAACTATAAAGTTGATAATAAATTAGCCTAGTTTTCTGCTCGCTCTCAATGTCTTTGGCAAACAGAAGTACACAGTTGTTACTCACTGGACCGTGACGCACAGTTGCTTACACCGCTTATGTTGTGTTCTGGTGGCTGCTATATTCCGCACATCATAAGCACTGGGTCATCCCCCCTCTCCCAGTGAGACCAGGATGGAATTTCTTAAAACTCTCTAATAATTTTTAGAAGACCTTGACTACTTTACCTGATAAATATTTAGCATCACTACTATTCGACCCTACTGTGGATTTATTATCTGATTTGTTTCATTATTTTTCATAATTTTAATATCTTTCACTGTTATCATCTTCTTCTTCTTCAGCATTCCAAGTTTTCAAGGTTCAATCGTGTAGATATCACCCGCTTCATTCACCTCTCTGGTTGGCTGTTTCTTTCCAACTGGTGACACCAAGTGTTTGTAGGTCTGTCTGAATATGATCTCTCTGTGGTCTTCTTGGTCTATGACAATTTAGCTCCCTTGTGTCTACAGTTTTTACCTCTCTGTCATCTGACTTTCTCTCAATATGCCTCAACCATTTCAGTCTATTAGCTATGATGATTCAAGTGACCAATGGTGATTTAAACATCAATTTTTGTTTTTACTGTCTCTAGTTCTTCTTCTTCTTCTTCTTCACTTCCTCTTTTACCGCTGTGGGTGTCGAGGGAGATATAAGGTTCTGTTTCTAGCTCTTCTGGCTGCCTCGACCATAGGCACATCGTGCTGTTGTAGAGTTTCTCTGATGTTATCCTTCCATCTTGTTCTTGGTCTACCCCGTGCTCTACGTCCTTCTTCTCTTCCCATGTATGCTTTGTATGGTATGGTGTCACAAGGCATTCTCTCTAAGTGGGCAAACCATTTCACTTGCTGTCTTTGTATGTAATCCAGAATTGGTTCTGTGCCGACTTGTTCTCTTATGATCTCATTTCTGATCTTATCTCTTATGGTCACTCCTACAGCCCTTCTCAGACATCTCATTTCCGTGGTTACTAATTTTCTTTTATGGTTTGTTGTGAGTGACCATGTCTGGCACTGGTAGCACAGAGTTAGAATAAATATGCTTTGAATAAGATGTCTCTTTGTGCTGATTGGGATTGTCTTATACTGTCTCTAGTTAATTTTCTCAAATGGTAACAATGTCATCTGCATAATAGTTTCTTGTAGTTTCACCTTTAGTACACTCTTTTTTTCCCCTAATTTCTTTATAATTTTCTTCAAGGCCAAGATGAAAAGAAGTGGGAACAGATCATCACCTTGCTTTTTTTAACCTTGTCCAATACTTTTGCTTTTGATGTTTATGAGGGTTTCCAGAATAGACAGGAGACAGTTGTGGTAGCACTTGATCTTGAGGATGCCTACAATAGAGTCATATATGACATTTTGATTTCTGCACTCACGGAGAAGGATGTTTGACCGTGGTTTGTGAAATGGATAGCAGCTGTCCTGCATTCACGTATGGTTGCCCTTCGCCTTGGTACATGGAACTCAGAACCATGCAACATTTCGAACCTCACAGTTAATAACAGTAACATCAAAAGAGAAAGAAAACTAAGGTACCTGTGTATCATTTTCGATAGAAGCCTGTCCTTCAGGGATGCAGTAGCAGCGAAATACCAAAAAGGACTCAATGCTCTCAAGATTATGGCAGAAATGGAGATGGAACAAAGAATGTTCACAATGTTCCAGCATGTGATCCTGTCGGTGATAGATTATGGACTTGGCATGCTTACCATATAAAAGAGTCACCTGATGAAACTTGAACACATACATAATGAAGCCATGCAGGTAATTCTGAGATGTACAAGAGATACCCTGATAGTATGTATGTGATATATACTTGCACTGCTTACTATTGCAGATAGGCTTTAAGTTCTGCAAGCAAAGTCATATCTCAGAGTAGCTGCAGACAAGAGGCAACTCCTGAATAAAGCCCTTGATAGAGCTAAGGGTCACAGACTGAAAAGAGGAAAGTCTTCAATGGGCCTAGCTGAAGACACAATTGGACAAATGTGCAGGCTTGATAAATTTAGGCGAGGAGAGGAGTGGGTCAAAGTGTCCGATCATTTTTCAGATTTGTGTAGGGTTCTAATCACTTTGGGATGTGAGTGCAGGGACAGGCCAGCTGGTGTTTTAGAATCAGAAGTTCCACAAATGATTTATGACAATTCCCGCTAAAGTGATGTGACTGTATATACAGATGGCTCTATGTTGAGGGGCAGACGTAGTGCATGGGGGTTTATAGCGAAGGTGAATGGGCATCCCTTGGTGCAACAAAGCCTGACATATAATATCACAACGTCTAATTTGTGAATGGAGGTGGAAGCAGTCACTGCTGCCTTCCGCTGGCTTGAGAATCAGCTGTGCACACACGTCTTCATTGTAACTGAATCACAGAGCATGCTGAGAAAGGTGGAGACAGGCATGCTCCATGCAAAGTGGCAAGCATCACTTCAGAGGTCACGGGTAGTTAGCATCCTTTGGATATTTTCTCCAGGTCATGCAGGTGAGCAGGCAGATAGACTGGCCGGTTCTGTACTACTTGGTGAACTGATGTATGACAAGTTGGATGTTTGGGAGTGAGTGAACAGTGATGAGGAACAGATATATCATTACGGTCTGAAGAGAATGGCACTGCGAGGAGTTACACAGGGATCTGGTGAACGCTCGGCACTTAGGGGAAAGGCGAGATGGATATACGATCAGACAAATACTGGTACCATCAGAAATTTAACTCTTCGCTTGCTGCTGAAGTTAGGGACGGAACACTTATAGGGGTGTCCTGAGTGCTGTGATGTTGATTCTTTATTCAACATTCAACAACATTAAATCAGATGTTATTTGCAGTGTCTTCCATTTATAGCTTGGTCATGCTAATTAATTAATTTGGTATTCCAAAGTCCTTTAAGCATTCCATAAACTGTTTCTGTGTACACTATCATATGTCTTTTTAAAATCTACAAAAATATTATGTGCATCTCTTCTATTTTCCCAGTTTTGCTCTGTTATTTGCTGTAAAATGAATAATTGATCTACTGTTGATCTGTTCTGTCAGAAACCTGCTTTGATCACTATAATTTTCACACTTACTACTGTCTCCTTTCTTAAAAATGGGTAATAATAAAGACTTTTTCCACTCACAGGGTAATTTCTTGATCTTCCAAACTAGTTTTATCAATTCATATATCTTTAAACCTAATGCATGACAACCTTATTTTATAAGTTCAGTAGCAATGTCATAAGCCCCAGTTGCTTTATTGTTATTAAGCTGTGTTATTAATCTTACATAATTCATTAATTAATCAAACATAACTTATCTTTTTTTTTCTTCCTAAAAGCCCTGGAAATGCACAGATTTTGAAAACTAGGTGAAAGATATTTGCTAATAGTTTACTATTTTGACCTAAGTATAAGGATGATAATGTTGATAGTAAAATCTACATTTATAGTAAATAAAATAACATATTCTTCCATCACATTATATTTGGCTGGAATAATTTGTAAACAAAAATGATTTACTTAAAATTAAGTCTTTACAGGTCTGAAACTCCAAGGATTATCCCTTTGTTATTGTTTAAGATTAATCAATCTATACTGTTTAACTTATAACTATGCTTTCTATTTGTACATTTAAAGTCTCTGTATATACAATTTTATTATTAATAAACTAACCTGACTGAAGTAAAATGGCAAACTTTCTGAAGAAAACTGTGTGTTAATTGTGTGACAGTACATGTACAGCAATGCTCCCTTCCTCCACTGTAAGCACTCCATGATTTCTGAGCTTAGTACATCTGCAACCTAAGAGAAAAGAATTGAAAAACCTATTTAAGAAAATATAAGCTGATGCACTGTTAAGTTTCTGCATTATTTCTATAACACAGAAATAAATCAGTTTCAACAAACCATACTAAGAAATCTTGTCCAGTATTATAAAGATTACTTACTGGCTTATCTTGAACAGTACGATTAGCTAAGTCCACCACACTTTGTAAAGTATCTGAAACAAGATGTATGTTAGTTACTGCTACAGAAAACTTGTAAACATGCTATTACTAAAACATGTATTTCATCTCAAATAGTAAATATATGTATTAATATCGCCTTGCTATGTTCACTGTTTTAATTAAATGGTTAACTTTTCTTCAAGTCCAGCGGTAGATAGCATGGGCAATGGCAACTGTGAGTAAGTAAAACTAAAAGGACTTCACTCTCTGGGATTAATGTTTCTGGGGAAAGAAACATATTTGTAATAGAATATTCAGCACTCGATGGATGATGCAATCAGCATCACATTGGCTGCCTTTACTTCACAGGACATTTTTCTGGTACTTATTTTAATATGAGTCGACCTGGAAGCCTAGCTTCATTATAAACATCACACTCAATGTGGATTCAAACCTTCAAACCAGCATCTAGCTATTGCCACTGGTGATTCTACTAGTTCTAAAATTTCAGTGACTTTTATTGTATGTCTACATTAATTTGCCTTACCATACTGTGTCATTTTTGTTTCTTACTCTTAATTTATTACAATGGTCAGCTGAACCATTACTGTCATTATTTTCTTCTTCTTCTGCTCTTTATTGGTTTTTATCAGGTAAGATTTCATCAGTGATTTCAGCGGTCTTTGAGCCAGCCCATCTCGATTTTTTTGAGCAAACTCATCAAGGCATACCTGGCTAAATGTCTGTTTCTCTATCAAGGTTTATGCCACACCCCTAGTTAATGCCATAATAAACCTTCAAAGTCAAACTACTAGTTGCCAAGCCAAAAGTATAATTTTTCTTCTTTTACAGTTCTCCCTCAATCCTGAGCCATAACAGCCCATGAGCTTTAAATGTGTCAGATAACAAACACATGTATATACATGACAAAATCACTCTTAGAAGAATTCTCAGACATATATACATGACAAAATAACTCCTAGAATTCTCAGACATCAACATCTGAGCTTCTGCATTGTTTTGTTTCTGCATTGTTGTCTAGCATTGAAAGAAACACACTAACCCCCCCCCCCCCCCCTCCCCCCCCCCCTCCCACTTTTTTTGGGCCATTGCAGCACTTTTATAACATAGTCTATGTACTAAGAAAAGCAAGACTTCAATCAGATCTCACACCTAAGTATTAAACTGAGTAACTTCTAAAGTTTTAGAGCTTATGTTACGGTTTTGACAACATGGCTATTCTGAGAGAATCGTGTGTCACAATTGGCTTCAAAGGTTTGATTGTGCCCTAGGTTTTTTACATCATATACCCAATGGGTCAATTTATAGTCAAAGTTCTTCTGCTTTTGGTCTTTGCTTGATAATGCACCAAAATATTATCAGAATGTGACAGCATCTTTCTTGACCTCTGCTGGTGTGTGATTATCACAGTGTTGGTATTGACTAAACAGCACCAAAGATAAGGGTAACCTAGTGGCAGGCCATGATGTACTCTTGGTGGCTGAGGCCTAGCTGCTACTTTTAAACATTACCATTCAATTAAATAGTGCTAGAGATCCATTTAAGGCAGAATGGACTGATATAGGGTTCAGGAGGTTGGAATAATTAGAAAATTCACTAAAAACTGTTGTATATATCTTCAAGGGCAATTGCAGCAGCACATGTCTCAATAACCAAATTGAAATCTTAATTCATATCATGGGCACAAATTGCATTAACCCAGGTTTTTCTTGTTTTGGATAATACCAACCAAGTGCAGGTGGGGAAAAAGATACGCCTCTCAACCTGGCAGGATATTTTTCCTAGCAATTATCATTTCCAACAGTTTGTCTATTGCATTCTCCATGGTAGTTACTCAATATCACAGAATGTCAGTGTCGTCTTTGCCAGTCTGGCATGGGTATCAGATGTGTACTCACTTTTATTTTTGTACAGTACTCTCAATGGTGTTGCAGATACTTGTCAATTCCTCTAAATCAGTGTTTCCTAAACTTTTTTTGTCCGCCCTTTTTTCAATATAAAAATCTTTGCTCTGGAAATAGAACAATCTTTATCATGTGCCATGTCAGAAACCATAGGCGGTTATGATTTGCCATTGTTTACAATCAATAATATCCCGGGTCCTATCAAATACGTCCTGCCTCATGCATGTGACCAAATCATCAATGTATTTATCTCTTTGCCTTTCCTCTCCCTCTTTCCATAAATTGTGTCACCTGACACTAATTTCTCAGGTCTATTGGTTTCCTTAAAATACCTTGCTGCCAACATGAAAATTCCTCTTAAGGCACAAGATGTTCGATCTTTTTCAACACCGAATTGGCATGGTCAGTCATTTTATGTTTGTGGGGCTATTTGGGGGATATTGGAACACCAATGAATATGTCTGGCATGCTGTGATGACTATCTACGTCAATCACTAATCACTAATAGTCAAGACTATGATCTTAATAAGATGCCTTGAAACTTGAATGTTTACATGCTTTTTAAATCAGCCATAGCAGCGTTGACATTACACATAGAAAATTAACGTAACAAAGGAAAATACAAAAATTAATTTTCAGTGATCAAGATTCGTTATGCACCAGTTCTAGCATGGACCATAAACAGGACAGGACAGCTTTTCTCAGGTGCTCATAGTTTATCTTGCAGGGTCGCTCCTGTGGGTTATGGTTTTTTTTCTCTTATTGGAACAGTCTGTTTAATTTTTAAGTCATGCTCTGTAGTTTGTATTTCTGTATCTAACCACATGTGGCAGTCAGGGAGTCCCTGTGTACCCCAGTTCAACTTCATAGACTGTTTTATGAATGCCTTTGGCATTCTAAATCTCTTAGATGGATGGTATCTCATGCAGCCTTTTTCTTTTATATTTCACCAGCCAGGGACATACTTCCTTCTCCATGAGCATAGATATCAAAATATCATATCTGACTCTATTGTAAGCATCCTCAAGATCAAGTGCTGCCACTACCATCTCCTGTCTATTCTGGAACCCTCATAAACATCAAAAGCAAAAAAGTAGCTGCATTTGACCAGGTATCTTTTTGAGGCTGGTAACTACTCAAACCTTCTGACAGGAGCTCTTCCCTTTCCAAAAATGTTTGTAGTTTAACAGCAATAATCTTCTCTAGCGCCTTGCCAAAAGTTTTTATTAGGGTGATAATCCTGAAACCCCTGAGTCTGGAATGAGCTTTGTGTGGTTTTGGAAGTGAGATTTGTTAGCTGTGTACCCAATCTTGGTGTCTATTCCCTAACAGATTTACAGTACTCATACTTCAAAAACAAAAAGCCAGTGCAGCTAACCCATATAGCAATCAATAAGTATGAGAGAGCTGATATGAAGATATCTTACCAATGATATTGCAAACTCTGTAAAAGGAAGATTTGCTCGAAAAATCCTCATCTATTAGTATTTTTTCTTCCATAAAAGTTAGATCCAACACAAGCTACAAAGATAAACAACAATTAAACACGTTTCAGTATTATATACACACCTATCAAATATTATTATACGTTAGCATCGATGAGCGGCTGGCCAAACGATTATAACGCTGGGCTCTCAAGCGGGAGACAGAGTTCGAATCTTCATTAAGGCTGGGGATTTTTTCTGTTGGGGGCACAGTCGTGGCAACAGCACTAGCCATGCAGCCGTAAATCATCAGACTCAAAGACCCCCCCACCCCCCCCCCTCCCACCAACACAGCAAAAGTGGTATAATAAAGGCAGTATCTGGCAGTTAGCATCATCAACATCCTGTTGAGCTGTTGATACATCACATAAGGTTCACAGTCTGTACCTTGATTCTAGTCCATCCTGGCAGTCTGTTTGATATGTATGGAATGCAGTCCAGCACATCTGACTTCTCTCTCTCTCTCTCTCTCTCTCTCTCTCTCTCTCTCAACGTCTGTCTTTGTGTTTCTCATTGACGTCTTCCTTTCTTTAGGCCATAATTTTTCATTTCAGCATCTGTCTGTTTGGTGATTCTCTGTCCACTTCTCCTCATTATATACCCAATATATTGGTACCATCTCAGTCATATAACTGCTGATATCAGCAGTTGTCTAGATAAGTTGTGTGTGCCTCTCTTGAATTTATCCCATATGCAACCATAAAGTTCTGTGTGTGAGTGCGTGTGTGTGTGCGCGTGCGTGCGTGTGTGTGTGCGAAAATACAAGGGAAGGGGCGTATTAACAGATAATACCACAAATGCAGGAATGTCTCAGGCATGGAAATGCAACTAGTGCCCGGTAAAAGTTACTTCAAATAGCAGAACTGGCCTGTTTGGAGCAAAAGGTAATAAGATAGGCTGGAAAGAATCAAGTCACCATGGTAGGAAGCAATCACTCCACTGGACAGTCAATTAAGGTGAGATATTTATTTGACAGGAGGAGTATGGAAATACAAGCCTGGCTCAGATAGTTAGCACTTAGATTACCCAGGAACTCTCCCTTAAAGTTGACTACTAGTACACAAAGAGTAATGACATGGGATGCTGCAGAACATTAGTGACATTTGACACCGCAGAACACCTGCTAGTGATCTTGTCAGATTATTAACAGACTTTTCGTAAACGTCTAGTGTGCAAGTCACAGATAGACCTAGATTGTGTAGTAACAAACTGAAACAGTAACATTGTTTTCAGTTATCTAAATTTTAATAATTAATTAAAATACTTGATGCCATGGCTGATACTAGTAAGAAAGCTAAGTGGGAGTGTGAAAATCATACTTTTAACAATGACTGGACACTGAAATATTTATTTATATCACCCACTATGCCTAATTCGAAACTAATATGCTTGCTAAGCAACGAATATGTGTCGGCAGTTTATGAGTACAAAGTGAAGTGGCACTTCACATCGAAACATGCTTATTTTGGAAAATCATATCCAGAAGGTTTCACTGCTAGAAAATAAAGTGCTGAGTCGTTGATTGCTGCTTATCAGCATAACAGCAGAATTCTTGTGCGAGCTTGAACTCAACAAGAAAAAGCTGCAGCAGCTTCTCTTGATATTAACCCCCGCCCCCCTTTACCAAAGGGACCTTTCACTGATTCAGAAACCGTGAAAGAATGCACACTACCAATTCTGGATGAAATAGCCGGTGATGATAAAATAAAAACAAGCGAGGCACATACAGTTCAGGAAATTCCTATGTTGGATACTTTGACAATACGCAGAGGGTTGTCTACAGTTTGTAAAATTCTTTGACTTTGTTCAGTATCTGTATTTATTTTTTGCTGGTTGTACTCATCACTGGAATGTACTGATATCATCCTTGAATGCATACATTGAAACACTGTGTGTTGTGTGTATTTCAGCTTTAAAAAAAAGTGCACTGGTGTTGTTCAGTGTGTGCTGACTTTATGTCTGCATTGTTCCAAAGTACTCAATTCATTGGTTCTTCTTCTTTTTCTTTGCGTTCACCAGCTGTGCATTCCGGCAGAAAGTCCTGGTTGTTCGACCAATTATGGACTTTGGTCCTGTTCCAGGACTTGAGTTTTGCATGCACATCAACTTTATAAGTAAAGCTCATATATGCGCAGATGCGCTCAGATTTCAAACAAAATATCACAACTATGTTCTTTGGCCAGGCCCCCAGTTGGGAATCTGTTTCAATGAGGGCTGCTGAGAGATGTAGATAGGGCTTGACCAGTATCAGCTCTGCATCCCAAATGAACTGGTTGGCACAACTGGACTGATCAGGTAGAAAGATGAGATAAAAAGAACAAATACCTTAGCAATGGCCTGTAAACATTCATGCACAGCTGCCTCTGTCATCATTTCTGAACTGTAACCACTAATGTGTTTACAAAGGCTTGAGCACTTCTCCTGGCACATCAACTTATTACCATCATCACCTTTAAAAAAAAGAAACAATTGTTAACATTTCTTTAAAATAGGAAACTATTAACCATTTTTTAAGGTAAAAATTAGACAAAAGGAAGAATGCATAAGCAAGTATGAAGTAGGAAAAGCTTTCCCTTAATAAAACAAATTACCCAATCTACTGATTACAAAAACCGACACTGTCAAAGACAAAAAGAGCAATGCTTTCTACAGAAATAGAGATTAACATGAACAGACTCAATACCACTTGTAAAAACACCAGCAGACATTCTTAAAAACACATACAGAGATTTAACATCATATCAATTTGTGCATCATATTTTTACACATCACAGGTGTTAAGGACCATTTAGTTAACATGGCAGACAGGAATGAAACAGGTTAAATGTATTTATACAAAGGTGACCAAGGAGTCCAATCTAGGCCTGACAAGATGGGCATGAACTGTTTGCACTGAGTGTGAGATTTATTTTGCAGGCTTTCTTGTGCTGTCTCAGGTGTTTTGAAGCTTTTTTTCTGGATGCCTCAGATGCTACTGTACTTAAAGAAGAGATAGGCACTAGGTCACTCAATCCTGTGTAATAGTTCACAATAGCTAATGATCTATATCAAATAGCTTGTAGTAAAGTCTTTAAGCGTGACATTCACATGTGTTTTTTTTTTCAGGTAAAGTGAGAAAGCCCTATACTCTAGATAAGATACAGTAGATCAGGGCTATTGAACTGGCAGCCCGCGAGGTCTAGCAAGTGGCCCGCGGATCGTTGCCAAAATAGTGAAATGTAGTTATTACAAAGAAACAAAATAAATAAATAAATGTTTCTGTATAAATCTTCAAAAACCAGTTGTGTAAAATGTTTGTCAGGGATCTGTAAATGCGGAGATACAAGGGAACCAGCATAGGAACAGAAAATGTAATTAGTTCAGGGTAAAAGTTTGTTCCCAATTCATACAAATAGTAAAACTCGCCTGTTTGAAGCCAAAGGTTATAAGGCTGGAAAGAATCAAGAAACAGGTAGGAAAACCACAGCTGCACTGGACAGTCAATGAAGGTGCGATATTTATTGCACAGGAGGAGTATGGAAATACCAGCATGGTTCTGACAGAGCTTAGATTACAGAGAAGCTCTTCTTAATGGGGGCCACTAATACACACAAACTAATGACACTGGGCGCAGCAGAACATCAGTGACACTGGACACCACAGAATACCTGCTAGTGATCTTGTTATTAGATTATAATAGGATTTTTTGGGAACTTCCAGTCACATACAAGTCACAGTCAGACGCAGATTGTCGGACAATACAGTACAGTAACAGTGTTTTAAATTATCTACTTTTAATAATTTAGTTAAATACTTGATGCCATTGCTAGCACTAGTAAGCGAGCAAAGTTGGAATGTGAAAATTATGCATTCAACAGTGACTGGACACTGAAATATTTATTTATATCACCAACTGTGCCTATTTTGAAACCAGTATGCTTGCTATTTTATTTCTTCAACACTGGACTCGACAATCTTAACTGATCAAATGATATAGTTATTTCATTAAAAGCTTCAAAATAATTTTAACAACAGATCTGATGACTTCAATATCCAAAAAAATGTAATGTTATTTATTTGAGATCCTTTTAAAATCCCTCAGGTTTCAACAGGAGCAATTCCGTAATGCTAGAAAAGTTTCTGTATTCATTCTCACCATATTTGGCACAACTTTCATTTGTGAATCAAGCTTCTCACATATGAATGTAATTAAGACAAAAAGTCGGAGCTCACTGAGCAATGATAGGCTACAGGATTGCATGGGAATTGTGCTTACTTAACACCAGCCAAATTTTGTAAAATAAGCTCAAAAACGAAAATGCAGCATTTCCCATTAATTACATTTTGCATCGTTATACCTTTCCGTTTCTTCTGCAGAATATATAACCTACTGTGGACAGTTATTATTATTATTATGACAATGTAATGGAAGTGACAATGGTAACGTTTATTTATGATCCCAATGACAAGTTGGAAATATGTGTATTTCAATTAAAAGTGATCCCTGTGTGGGTTTCGAGGCCCTATTGTGGAGAAACAAGAATAGACCCACTGCCTATCCAAAAGAATGTCGGAAGAGTCAAATAATTAGGAGCTTCCTTCGAAGTCAGAGTTCATCTGCCTGAGAGCCAAGAAACCAACAGATGCAGTAAGACATGTAAAACAGATGTGTACGCAACACTCAGTTTCCGGAACAGGAGTAGAGTCCAAAATTAGATAAACAACCAGAACTTTCTGCAGGAGTTTACAGCCAGTGAATACAAAGAAGAAAAAGAATTAAAAGTGAGTATTAATTAATCGTTACAGAAGATTGTAGTACACTTTACTTTATAAGGTTTACAACACTGCTTCATTTATATAGGCTACGTCCCAGACGTAAAAGTTTTCGAGTGTATTAAATCTACACATTAAAAATGTTGTCAACTGTATTGTGGGCTCAGGCTCCTGGCCTGCAAGGATCTCCATGTTCAATATTTTGGTCTGCGAGCAAACAGCTAAACAGCCCTGTAGTAGACTCACCTATCCAGCCTACTGTGGAGGAAAGGTAGGCCAGAGAATAAGAAAGCCGGATAGGCCAGAGTTCTATAAATACTTACTTCCTGCCTCACCCATACCATTAAATCACCCTTTTAATACTAAATCCCACTATATTCATATTTTCCGACTTCTTAGTAAAGGCCAATACTTTATAAATGTTAATTAGGTGTTGTACCGTATGTTCACAAAATTTATTACAGAAAAATGAAATCCCCCCCAAAAATACTGTAAGCATTTTAAGATAAACTGAATGTCAAACTTAATTAGATGAAATATAAATAATGTACAGAGCACAGTATGAGTACACACATTTAAAATGAACAAAAAATTACCATAAAACATAGGCCTAATTCTTCCAAATATTATTTAAACTAATTTTACTGTTCACTGATAAATGATCACACAAATGGGAGAAGGTAGGCCTGAGATGAAAGAGTCAAAACTGACTGTTTTTTTTTTTTAAGTTCTTGATAGATGACTGCTTCAGTCTGTTCAGCTGCCATTGCTTCCTGCTCACTAAATATACTGCAGTGAATGTTTTACTTTACCCAGTGTCATGATTTCCAAAATATTGTTGTCATTTCAACAAGTTCATCATTTGCCATCCATTCTATAATGTCCTCTGCACTGATATTGCTTGCAACACAATGGCAAAGTCAATTATTCCTCATTTTAATAGGGATTGTTTTAAAACTAGCCCAGAAAATACAGAGGCCAGATAACTGTGAACTGGGTAGTGAAATGTCTACTGTATTTTGATGGTTGCAGAACAGGATGTACCTTATATTTGGAAATAAAAGACAACTTTTACCCTGCAGGAGGACTATCTGTATACACACTTACCCACACTGCAATCCTTATAGGCAAATGATGTATTAAAGTAGTTAGCAGATGAAGAACTCCCCAGAACTAGAAATAGTCATTGTTTTTGCTGTGAAGGATGCACTTATAGGCATAATAGCTAGGACAGCCCACCATGCATTACTTTCTTGCAGAAAGTAATTTGCAGTCAAGCAGTACTTATGCAAACAATGTCATGACTAAACATTTAATCAGGATTACAGACATCTTCTGAAAGACATCCTAGTCAGTGTTTATACCAGCTGCCAAAGTACACTAAAAACTTTTGGAACATGAAACATTAGAGCAATGTAAGAATACAAACTTCACAATTTAGCACTGATAAAGGAATACAGAATTAAATGGATAAATGGTGTAGATAAAACCTGCAAAAAAGTTGAATACATTTATCACTCAAACCACTCGAGAAACGCAAGACAAATATAGAAAACCATGACACTGGATATGATGCACCTGGTAACTGTGGAAATATTAAAAAAAATATAAAAAGTTTTCTTCTGCCTTCTATCCCCAAACGGAGCATAGGCCCTTAACAAGCTCATGCCAAGTCTTTCGCTATTGTATGCTGCTCATTTTATTTTCTTCCCCATCTTTTCAACTTTACTCTCTAGCTCTTTTCTCAATGTGCTTTCTTTTTGTCTGCCTTTATTTCTCTCTAGCTTCCTACTCCTTATGTTTTTATGGACTGCCTTTATTTTTCTCTCTCTTTCTCTGTGTGTGTGTGGGTGTGTTTTTTCTGTGAGTGTATGAATGTGTGCATGCGTGTGTGTGTGTGTTTGTGTGTGCACGTGAGTGTGTAACAGTATGTGTAATTCTGAGTGTGTATGATTGTGTATACATGATGTGTGTATGCAATAATTTCATTATGGATATTTTTATATAGACATAACACGCATTACTGATAAAATGTAATTGTTCTACGAGCAGTGGGTTCCAAGTAATCTTGTTCTCAGGTTTTCTCCATGTGTGTCCTATCCAATGCCATGTCTTTTCTCCACCTCTTGGTCCATTGGAACTTGTTTAGTTCTCTATTAAAGCTCAACACTTGTGATTATATCGTATCATTTAACTTCCTCTATTTTGGGCAGGCAGCATTTAATAAATGTTTGTAGTTTATTTGTAGTTGTTCAGTTACGCTCTGTATTTCCGCTCCAATAACAGTACTGATTTTACATTAGAATTAAACATTTTAAGTTTAGTATTCAGATTTTAATATCTCTATCAGTCCCCCCTCCCTCTTTATCTACATTACAGAGTACTGCCCAAAAAGGTGAAAACTCCACATGGGAGTGGGATACAACTAAAAGAAACCACATGGCTGATTTATTCTCATTATCATTGTTTTTTTCCTTATGGATTTTTAGACCTAGTTAGTTGTTGTGACCTTGCATCAAGCATATTTAATTTATCTTGCATCTGATTCCGTGAGCAGGACAAAAGAGAAATATCATTCGGCTAAGTCCAGATCCTCAGGCTGTTTTGTAAGGGCCCATTACAATACATTATTGGTGTTAGTAGGTATAGCATTGGGTCGTTTTGTTTCGTTTATTTTGCTATACATTTTCGTCGGTAACTATAGACGCGACTGTGACCCAAAAATACAAAACCAATTGTCCGTTATTGGGAAATTATTTTTCTGTGCTCTTTACGTGAAAGATAAAATCGGAAAAGTTATTAGGAGTTATAAGAGAGATGCCAGGCTTTGACCTGAGATGGTTTTGACGCGTATAACATAATTTTTTTTTTTTTTGCAGCACGCAGTGAATTAACGGTAAGTAATTTAATAAATATCTTTTCAATTAGCCTACGTTAATTTTTATATAAGTGTGGGAAATTTCACAAACATTGGCAAATGCGCACATGTTTAAAAAAATTGTTTAGTGGCATCACTGTTTTCGCTTTAAATCCAAAAACGGTAAGTAATTTCGTAAATATCTTTTTAATTAGCCAGATTACCGCAATGTGTGTTGTATTTTTGAATTCTATGTTAATTTTTATATAAGTGTGGAAAATTTCACAAACATTGGCAAATGCGCACATGTTTAAAAAAATTGTTTAGTGGCATCACTGTTTTCGCTTTAAATCCAAAAACGGTAAGTAATTTCGTAAATGTCTTTTTTATTAGCCAGATTACCACAATGTGTGTTGTATTTTTGAATTCTGCGTTAATTTTTGTATAAGTGTGGGAAATCTCACAAACATTGGCAAATGCGCACATGTTTAAAAAAAATTTTTTAGTGGCATCACTGTTTTCGCTTCAAATCCAATATGTTTGCACTAGAAGACCGTTTTTCCCTCTTTATAATTAACTTAAAATAATTATTAAATTAGCTAACGTTATTTTAATCATTTTTTTTAAAATCCACAACCATTGTAGCATTTGTTCAGCATCTGTCATTATTTAGAGCCCTTCGTATTCTCTGTTGGATATTTGTTTTTCCTGATCACCCCTAAATCCCAATAATTAATTTCGGCCATCACTGCGCCAATATTTAATCAGAGAGGTGACATACTTCTGCACAACTAGGAAGTCAGGCAAAGAATGACCCCGCCTGATCTCGCTTGGCGTCTCTAGAAAAAAAGTCCTGTATTAGTGCACCAAGGTGTAAAAAGGTTTCCAGGAATTCGAAATATTATTCCAGAAAATATCTATCCCACAGTTGTAAGTTTGAAAATGTAGACTTTTCAAAACAACTAGAGGGTATAGAAATACCTATTCCACCAAATAGAGGTATATATCAATATGAGGGACTATATACTCACCGGGCGGGTTTAAATTTGAAATGTGACCTGCCCGCTAGGGGGCGTCAACGTCATGACGAGTCTGCTGTGCAGGGTTTGGTTGATTCACTCCGTGACATAAGCTTAGCTTCGGGTTTGACAAAAATCCTATTGGCAACCCTACCGTGCTTGGCTGCCCGCGTGTGACTGCTATAGATCCATCTCTTATATTCAATGATGGGTGGATATGGGAGCCAAGGTCATTTTTGAAAGAAAAGAAAATCCAACCTGACCTGATTCCCAGAAATGAACACACCTGTTGTGTTAGCCGTGTTGTTAACACTGTCACCGACCCATTATGAAAACAGGCCGTGTACTACCAGTGGGCTCAAGAGAGAGAGCAGGAGGAGGAGAGAGGAAGAAAAAAAGAGACAGAGACTAAGAAAAGAAAGTCGACACTGAGACATGGGGAAAAAGAAAGGAAAGGGAAAAAAAGAAAGAAGAGGAGAGATACCAGGGGAAGAAGGTACCAGGAAGGGGGTGCGGCCATCCCGGTATCATCTTTGTGGGGAGGGGGTGCAACCACTCCGGGTGTCATTATTGTGCTGAGATACGACCACCCCGTGTGACATCGCTGTTGCGGGGTGGGGGGGGTCCGATATTTGTTAATTAGGTCACGCCAACTGACATTGGCACATTTATATGATCTTTATGTTCGCCTAGCCAGGACACACAATATGATATGTATTAAGCCAGGCTAGTTGGCAGACAACTGTAAATGTATAAAGTTTTAGATGAAAATTATCAGCCTGCAGACATTTTCATATGTTAAATAGGCGCACATCGTAGTGTATGTAATTGAGACATGCATAAACGGTTAGGTCTCACTGTCCCGATTCTAGCAATATATGGTTGCTAAGGGATTCGTTCAGAAACAAAAAAGTTATGCCCATAAAATCAAACATTGAGCCATTTCATCTCACTGGGTCGCAGCAGGGAAGCCATGTTTTATAGATTTCCACTACAATTTTTCTTTTGTGGTGTCCGATAATAAAATGTTAATATCTCCGCTTAGAATCGTCTTACAGGCTTAAATAAGGTACTTCAGGTACCATTGGATTTGTAATTTTAATCTAGCTGTTATGATTTCGTAAGTAAAAACCCAAAATATAAAACTTTACTAGCATGCCTAGTGTTAGCAGCTGCTGTCTTCATAAACCAGCCTATTGCCAGTAAAAATAAAAGGGTGACAAAAGACACTCCTGTCACACACCTGTTCTTATTTTAAATGTATCTGTAAGCTTTCCCCCATAAAGAACTTACAATTTCATGTTTTATACGTTCCTGTTTGTTCATCTCTTACTCTTAGCCTTAGCTTTCTATCAATAATCAATAGTAACGTAATTTTTCAACCTCCCCTCACACCTCTCCCCTCCCAATCCACTTGTCTTTTTTTGTAACCATGCAAATGAAATAGGAGGTACCCCAAAAAAATGATGCCCCCCCCCCCCCCCTCCCCCTCCTTTTTTTAAGTATGGGTGAAAAAGGGGGAGGGGGCTTTACAAAACATGATGCAATGCTTGCGCTAAAAAAATATTTGATATTATGTATTTGAATAATTGTAATACCTGAAGTGGGTGTGCTCAAAGATGATATGATATCCGGTAAATGTTTGCAATAAACAATCATTTCCTGCCTAGCTGCGGTAATTGTTTGATTCTCAGCCATATTGCCAACAAGTTATTTTTAGACACGCCCTGTTAAAGGGAAACTACCAGCAAAAAATATTTCCAATAATTGGAATCGGGGTTGCCATATTGGCTACTTCTGAGCCAGATTTAACACATCAGGTTTTTTTTTTTTTTTAATTAAAGGAGCTGGATTAAATAGAGCTGGCTTATTTTGGCTTGTTTTGTTTTTTTATTGGGAGGGGGGGGGGGCCCTGGCTTTTCTAAACAAGACACTTATTTATGGTTCCTCTGTGGGAGACTAGCTAATTTACTAACAGCGACTTAGGCCTACAATTAACATCTTTATTTCAGTTTGTCTTAGTTGTGATGTCCTGGTAAGGCTGGTACACGGACTCGCGGAGATTCGCGCCATCTCCTAATGTATGAGGAGCATGTGTATGAGTATGTATTTTCCTTAATAGACCTAGACTGCGGTAAAGCAAGACCCTCTGTAATTTTATCGTGACGGATAAATTCACATGATATCTTAAAATGACAGGTCAACAGTCCGACCTTGAAAGTCCGGACGGTCACATCGATCTCCTCTTTGTCAATCTAAACATGGCAACGTCCCCCTTTAATGATTCGGCCTGGAGAATCTCCTTGGCGTTTACCGGCTTCCTGCCAAGCGCAGTAGACAATGTACCAGCTTTCCGCTGAGGTTCCTAGTGGAATCCCTGGGTAAAGCGTCCTCAAGGATCCACTGTGACACGACTACACGACTGTCTCTTCCAGACTGTATACAACAAATCCTTTAGACAACAATTCCTTAACAACATTACGTATTGTTTTGACGTCCTATTTGCTCACTCAGTACTGGTGCGTTCTAGTGCATAACCGCACACAACAGCTAACAAAAAAAAAAAAAAAAAAAAAGAGACAGAGAGAAAAGGTTCGTTTAGGCGGGGGTAAGATCAAAAATAACTCACCCTGACAGGAAATCTTCTGTGTGGGGTCTAATATAGTGTAACAGTAAAACCTAGGCACACATCTAAAATAACAAGAATGTAAGTCGACAAATACAGAAACTTCATTTACTTGATGACATATAACAATAATACTTGATGACACACTCCGAAAACAAAGAACTACTAGAAAGTATATGAACAGAGCAGCAGAAAACTAACCAAGCAACTGGTAAACCAATTCATAACAAAATACTGACAGCTACTAGCAGACCAACAAATCGGCTATAGTGATCTGCTATCAAACTATCTCCTAGCGAAAATACACAATGAAAATCAATTCTAATACCATCTAACCAAAAGAAACGTACCGTTATCGCGAACACGAGCCAGTCTAGCGTCGTTCGGCCGGTCTGATCTAACACACATGTGCATTGAGATTAAGTGCAATCAATAACGGCAAACAGGAAGTCTTGACCATAACGTACTGACCACAAAGTGACCGCCAAATTAGGAGGAAAATATTGAGTCACTTCCTTTTTATACCTAGTGGCCAGATTTTTCCGCTTTTTACTGTCTTAAACTAAAAGCTGCTCCTGAGAATTTCTTGGTCATTTTCAAACCAGATTAAATCAAAATCGTTAAGTTGCTGAACAGTAGTCCTTATCGTTTTCAGCCTATCACATACATATAAAAAGATGAGAAAACAAACTCGCAGTTTAATTCATTTATTATTGTTCTAAACATAGTATCGTCTGGTCGCTGTCTTCTGATCTCTGTCGTGGTCTGAGATTCAATAATCAAATGTTACAATACACTGCATAAGATGTTCACAATTGTTAGCAAAGCTTACCTTGCATTCTTGGTGGATCATTCATGCAACGCACAGGCGACGAGTTTGCATCTCCGGCACTCCGCTACCAATCTTCAGTCAGGCTGGGTGCAATGGGTTGTTGTCTAAGAGATGACGTGTCTAGTTAATGCTCTTAGCACACATTCTTACGATGACATAACTGGGACAAGCCGACACCGACTTCAGAGTACGAAACAGTTTATTGACATCTCATCACATAAATAAACGTCCTGTCCGTGTCCTAATATACAGCTTGCACACACCACAGCTATCAGACTCCAACATGCTGGTTTCTCACACAGTCATTGACCAGAGTTCGCTCAGATGAATCTGGTTATTCTCCTCGACTTCACACAGAATGGCCTGGCTGTTCTTGCCTTCAATGGATGTCGTCGTCTGATCTTCCTCTCGCAGCAATCAGTCTCACGTTGTCATTCTCTCGATCACTCTCCCATCCTTTCGCTTTGACAGTCAACACATACTAACTCATACTAACTGAGGTCCTTACCTTATACCCAGTGTTCGTTCCACGTGGCAACACGTGGTTGTTGTTGTTTTTTTTTTTTTTTTTTTTTGGGGGGGGGGGGGGGGTTTCACGTGGCGACCTGTGGTCGTTCTCCTTTACTTCCACGGGATAATTTGTGGTCGTCCCCTATCTTGAAACCTCGTTTAAACCGAGTATTTAGCTTCTCTCGGTATTCTTGTTAGCTTGGGGCTTCCCCCCCCCCCCCCAACTTTCCCAATCAGGGTGAAAATATCCCCTATTACACTGGGTGTCAGCTTGAAAGCTTCTGGGCAGGCATTCATTTTGAGGAATCAGAACTTTTTCACACAAGTCAGTTACATTTTATAACAGTCAAACGCCTCTCGAGCTCGACCAGTCACTCTGGCTACCAAACACCAACTGATTCGACCCCTCTTTCACTTTCACTCCCCCTCTCTCCCTCTCTCTCTCTCTCTCTCTCTCTCTCTCTCTCTCTCTCTCTCTCTCTCTCTCTCTCTCTCTCTCTCTCTGTCACCTTTACACAGTTCAGTTAAACACGTGAATTTGCGAACGTTTTCATCCTCGGTTTCTATCCCATGACTTACCCTTGACCCTAGGCTATTTCCTGGAAACCCTTTAGGAAAGGGTTACATAACAACTCCCCCTCCCCCTCCCACCCCACCCACCCCACCCATATGAAAAAGTTTACCCCCTCCCCATTTCGTTTTAATTAACGGTTAGGAGTTACTCTGTTGTAAAGATCTGTGCATTTTCCACCATTACCTTTGGCAAACGTTGTTGCTTACCCTTACATAGTTTGTTCATGATTTCCACTTGCAAGATCGTCAGTTGTGGTACCCAGTGAGCACCATATAGCTTAAAGGGATCAACGCCTCAAGACTTTTATAATTTAGTGCGGAAGACCATATAAGCATCACACAGTCTGCCTAGAGACAGAACAACACCCCAAGATACCCCTAATTCAGCGCAGAAGTCCATAACGACTATCGAAATGTAATGTGGACATGTTAAGTCCCACCTTCACCCTATGTACCATCTGGCCACTCCCACTAGTGTCCGTCTCAATTGGATCTTCAAGCTTTGGAACAATTACCATAGTTTTAGTGGTCTCGCTTACCCATTAGTCATTTTACAATAATTTCTTTCTCCTTTTTGTTACAATGTCAGTAATAACAAATAAAAATTATTTTATAATCACTTTGAAAACAATTTTTTTTTTAACATAATCACACTATAATTCATTTTCTTTACCATTTTACATAATATTATTAGTTTCATTTTCATTTTACATCACCATCTGTCAATATTGCCATTGTCCTGTCTGTCATGTTAGTTACAAAGATATATGAAATCATAAAACAATTTGTCAGTCATTTTCATATACATACTTTAAACATCCATAATATTCATTTCACATTTACATTGTGTTTTGTGTAGGTAAGTGTACAGTTGTACACGTATGTGAGGGTGGATGTTCGGTCCGCCTAGTTGACCATTCAGTAATCATCAGCTGAATTAGTTGTTCACAGTCATTTGTAACATTTCCGCGTGTGCGGTAAATGAACAGCGCAGAAGCACAGATGGTTCTTAATGGTCTAAAGAATATGATGCTACGAGAAGGGACAAGGGGATCAGTTCGGTGATCATCACTCATCGGAAAGATTATTTATTGAATCACCGTAATAATCTGTCTCCATTGTTACAGATGACACATGTTATAGTGGAAATGAGTAAACGTGTGTTCACCATCACAGCCCTGCATTTGGTGTGACTTCATACATCCGACAGCATTGATTTAGAAGCCAATGGTCTGAATTCGGACCTGTTCCAGAATCACACCCAGTCTAGCTTTAAAGAAGTTTCTCTCTTCGGTGGACTTACTCAGCTGGAAAAGACAGTATCAAAATCCAAGTGGATGTGGATACAATAGCTAACTGGTTTCGTCGTTTCCGCCAGACACTTGAAAAAACAAATTCTGAATAAACTTTTCAGTTTCTTAAAAATAATGATGTAATAACGCCAGGTATCCAGCTGTTTTTTTTTTTTTTTTTTGGGAGTTTACATTGAAGAAGTATGTTAAATAATTAGTACAAAGAACTCTAACGGCTAGTAACATGTTAACTTCTGCTTGTGTTAATGATACATTCATGCTGGGATTTTATGGCGAGGCTAGCTAAACCAGAGCCATGGGCCATGCAGGTCTTAGATGCATTTAGGAAACCTGGTCCAGGATTGACGCTTTCGAGACAGATCTTTGTTGGAAATTGTAGTCGGTGTAGCAGTGCTTCAGCTCTGTCTGTTGACAGACTCCTGAACCTCCTAGAAATTGCTGTTTCTCAAGGCAAATTTAAAGCTCGCTGGTTTCCCTGTTCAGCTTCCTGTCCAGTTATGACCCTGCAGGCCAGAAACTGCGCTGTTAATGAAAACACTTTGCTTTTCAGTAAAGTGATCAGCTGTTGGGGTTTAAACGGGACCTTACAAGCTGCCCCTGCTGAACACCACATGGAGGACCGAGACACGAGCATAGCTACTCACTGTCATGGTTTTTCCTGTAATTATTGGTAATTTGTTGATGATTATCAGCCCCGCCTGTGACATCGTTGTTATCCAGTGGCCCAAAAGGTGAGATATCCACGAGAAAGAGAATGCAAAAGCTAGAGGATACACTGTTATTGGAGAGGAGGATCAGGAGACTGAACCCCTTCTAAGTGTTGATACATTGACAAAGAGATCGG